ACTTAGGAACTATTTACTAAAATCAGTATATCTTACTTTGTCTTTCTCTGTTAATACCATCAGCTACAGCATTCTCTCCTATTCCTCTAAGAGCAGTTATCAGTGTATCTATTGTTGGAGTCTGCACATCATCAGTTTTACGCAACCAGCTAGCCAAACACTCTATAAAACAACGATCAACTTTTCCTCTGTGTTCTTGTTCAATGCTCTTTAATGTGTTATCATGAAGTAAAAGACAGAGACCAAGTTCATAATAAGATGCCTTGCTGCAGTCATGCTTTCTGAGTAATCCAATCACTTCATTAAGATCTCTGATTTCTATAGCAATCAGATTTATTACAATAAAAGCGATAATTCTGTACTCACTTAATATCCTTCCACTCAAAATTGATTCACATACAGAAGCCGATTCAGCCATCTTAAGAAGGCGGAGTGTAATCTAGTTTAGCCTTGAAGGGTTTCTATTGTGGCCATACAGCTAAAACAGTAAGCAGCTCGGTAAGCAGTAACTTTGGTGAAAAACTGTATGCTCTAATGGTGTAATGTGAACACTGACACTATACCTAGTCTATGCCATGGTGTGCCAAATAGTGTAGTTTAATTTGGCTCTGAGAAGGTTACTCTGAAATGCACATCAATGACAATGTGTGCAGGTCAAGTACATTTTGTTAACACAAAATTGACTTTTTAAAAAGAAACTAGACAAAATTAAATTTAACTGCTAATAGTTTTGCATTCAAGTGGTATACACCTTTTCCATTAATCCTAATAGTATCACATGTCGATTTAAGAAGTCTGGCTTTACATAGAGCAGCCAGGACTCCCAGGTTGAGGGCACAAAGGAGCTATACAAAAGAAATAAACACTTGATTCTATTATTATGAGTCAATAGCCATACCTGGTGTTATATCATTGAGTGGGAATACATACATCCCTGGTGTGTTGCTATTAATGGTAACTTGGAGCATTTGTAGTGTTTGTACCAAAGGGAAATAGAAAAGGATTATTCACCACATATGTTGGATTAATGATACAAGGCTATTCCGGTAGTCAGTGCTGGAATGTGTGTGTCAACATAAAGAACAATACCAAATGTAATGTTTCCATTAGTAACAATTACGAATTGAAAATGACTACCCTAAGAATAATAAAAAAAGTGGGGCTATAGATACTATACAGGTGTCAAGTAGGCATGACATAGTACTAGATCTCTCTACACACTAACTTGCTGTGTGTCATTCATTTTATAATTAATCCAAGTGCCAATGATTAACTGAGTAGGAGGAGATTTGTTGCAGAAAGTACGAGGAAAAGCTTTATTGATCTCATCCATGATCTTTTAATCAGCACTTAATCATTAGTAGTCCTACCATACAATAATATATTATTGGCCTCGCCTACGCGAGGTATAGGTAGTTGTTGTGTGTGTCTGCAGGAGTCCATAATGTGGTTCCTTAACCCCACATTATGGACTCCTGGTGTCTGTCATTGCCCTCGCCCACGCCGTAGGCGTATAGGCGAGGGTACTGCGCTCGTCGTGTCAGTGTGTGTGTGTGTGTGTGTGTGTGTGTGTGTGTGTGTGTGTGTGTTCGCAATATGGCGTATTTTTCTCTGTTTTCAAATCCTTGCTGCTCTTTGCTCAGGTCCTGTGGAGTGCCACTGTCAACTAAAATAATTGCCAAAAGTAGTTTTTCTTCAGTTTACTTCTTTATCTGTCTTCTCCTTGGCAGCATGAGCCAGTAATGTTGCTAAACGTAGTCAGGATTCCGGGTAACTCTCTCATGACGAAGGTAATAATGCAATAGAACACACCAAACGATAGATTGAAAGTTTTCATTCATTTAATATGTAGGAAATTTGTCTTAAATTCTTAATTTCTGAGATATGGTAGCTCAAACATCGCTTACCGCGACTGTTTACACGAGGTCCTGTTCTCCAGGAAGATCTGTCAGAGTCTTTTAAACTGTAGATTCTTACTATCAAGTTTGTATACAACAAATAGAGCCAGATTATTGTGTCATAAACTGTGTATAAGTGTAGAAAACTGAAGCTTTTTTACCAGTAACTGTCCATTGTGTGTAACTATGAAGTAGGCGGTGCTTAATTTGAGCCACACCTTCAATTGCTGCAGCAAAGCAATGCAAGGCTGATTATTGGTTGTATGTCTTGTCTGTAATAGATCCCTTTTTAATAATTTGTGTTGATGTGAAAATTTGTGTCTTAGTATATAAATGTTTGATTCTGTTGTTTTGGTTGATCTTTTGATTGTTAATAATCGTATCTACAAGAGTAATATACTGCAATTATGTCACGCTGATTGTGGCGAGGGCATGTGCTATAGTGCACTCGTTGCCCTCGCCCACGCCATAGGCGTATAGGCGAGGGTACTGCGCTCGTCGTGTCAGTGTGTGTGTGTGTGTGTGTGTGTGTGTGTGTGTGTGTGTGTGTGTTCGCAATATGGCGTCTTTTTCTCTGTTTTCAAATCCTTGCTGCTCTTTGCTCAGGTCCTGTGGAGTGCCACTGTCAACTAAAATAATTGCCAAAAGTAGTTTTTCTTCAGTTTACTTCTTTATCTGTCTTCTCCTTGGCAGCATGAGCCAGTAATGTTGCTAAACGTAGTCAGGATTCCGGGTAACTCTCTCATGACGAAGGTAATAATGCAATAGAACACACCAAACGATAGATTGAAAGTTTTCATTCATTTAATATGTAGGAAATTTGTCTTAAATTCTTAATTTCTGAGATATGGTAGCTCAAACATCGCTTACCGCGACTGTTTACACGAGGTCCTGTTCTCCAGGAAGATCTGTCAGAGTCTTTTAAACTGTAGATTCTTACTATCAATTATTATTATTATTATTATTATTATTATTATTAT